GGTAGATGAGTCTTGAGGAGGAAGGATCCAGAAACAAGGCAGTGGGTTACAGTCTTCCCTAAAGAGAATGACCCATTTCTCAGGTGATGGTACACTGAGGCTGGAAAAATATCCAAACACTTCTACTACTACTGGACACAGGATCTGAGCTGACATTGATCCCAGAGGCCCAAAGTATCACGATGGCACCTGTTAGAATGCGGCTTATGAGGTGCTGGCATTAAAAGGAGTTGGGAAATAGGGACCAGATCACAGTGAGCTGACTGGGTCCCTAGACTGACACAGTGGTCATTTCTCCAGTGCCCAAGGTGATAATTCTAAGTGATATACTTGGCAGTTGGACCAATGAGCCTCACATTGGATCACTGGTTTGTGGGGTACGAGCTATCACCTTATGAAGGTCAAGAGGAACCTCTGACACTGGCTCCCACCCCAGGCCAAGAGAGCAAGTCAAAACCAGTATCAGATTCCGGTGAGGATAGAGGGGTAAATTAGAGATCAGGGACATCATTGGAGATGTATGGGATGCAGGGGAAGAGGAGGTAGGAGAGCCACAGGGATGAAGAGGGTGGAGGTGGTGAGAAGAAGTTTTAACATTCTTTCTATGGGGGAGGGAGGAAGGGAATGGAAATGGTGAGAGGGACGATAGAGGCTTCCACTGGATCCACCAGTAATGTTTCCTAGGGCACTGGTGGATGCAGGAGATTTTGCTTTCTGCTTCTTTATCCATTTGAGCATGTCTGAAACAGCACACCATGACCTTAAAAGTCCTTGGAAAAAGTGGGAGAGGGCAGTATCCACACACAGGCAGGAAACATGGTGGTGGGGGGCATGCTTGAGGAGGAGGATTGAACATTTACAGTGCGCCCAATCTCCCCTAATCTTCAGCATGGCCAGCTTCTCAGGTGCAGACCCAGAGAAACTGGCCTTTGAGTTAAACAGGCAAGAGGGGTTCAGGTACCCCAGGCTCCTCCAGGAGGTCAGCCAGAGAGGGATGCAGGAGGGAGAGGGGACTGAAGACAGAGGAGTAGGAATAGGAAAGAGAGGGAGGAAGGTAGGGGGAAATGGAGGGCTGGTTGTTGGAGTAGGGGTTGGGTGGCAGACAAGGGAAAAATTCTAACACTCCAGGGCCTAAATTCTAACACTCCTTGGCTTTACCAAGGGAAAGACCAGTTCCCAGACATGAGGGAAGCTGGGAATCTCCAGTTTCAGGAAAATCTGAGAGACACCTGGTAATCCACACCCACTGCTACGGGGACTGGTAGGCCTTGGTTGTGCTTCCTTCTGGACATTGGAAACATACTTGTACATACACTTATATGAATTCTCAAATGTTAGATACAATTGACTGTGTGTGTGTTTCAAGTTACCAGTGTGAATCCAACTCCATAATCCTGCGACTTGCAGCATGCAGTCAGGAGGATGCTTTTGAAATCTGTGCATGGGGCCTGATGTGTTCCTTTTGGACTGCCAGGTTTTAATCCACTGGATGTGATGCCACGTTGCATTTATCCATCTCCATATTGATGGGAATTTGAAGTCTTCCCAGTTTTTCCCATCACAAGCATCTTTGTGCATGTGTTCTTGTGCACTACAGGTAACAGCCATGTCTCTAGAAGATGCACCAGGCAGCAGACTTGCCTGAACACGGAGGAAATAGCATTTCATTTTATTTTTACTTTCACTTTTAAGGTCTTTGGCTCAAAGCAAGGACTCTGGAACCAGACTGCCTGGTTTCAATCCTGCCATTGATCCAGACGAGCCAAATGACCTTGGGCCAGTAGCTAAACCTCTTGTGCCTATTTCCTGTAATAAGCCAGTAATAGTGGGTACTTAACTCCTAGGATTGGCGCAAAGATGCATTACATTTTAGCTACCGTGCTTAAAGTAGAAGTGCTGTAGAAGAGTAGAAGCACTTTTAAAAGAGTGCCAGGAACAGAGTCCATGCTGCATACCGTTGCTTTTCCTGGATTCTGCCAAATTACCCACCCAAATGGCTCTTTTCAACACCACAGCAGGGGTTGGCTCCTAACCTCTCCCACCTCTGAATGGTTAACCTCTTTGAAGATCACAAACCTAGAGTGTGAAAACCGATTTGTGGTTTTAGTTTGCACCCCCAGGAGCATCAGTGGTGAGCATCTTTTGCAGTGTGTACTGGCCACTGGAATTCCCTCTTCTTTAAATTGCTTCGGAGTGGAGGAGGAGCTGAGGGAGTGGTGCCAAGCCCAGCCCATCCCCAGATCCACCTGCAAATGTTTGCTGAGAACACAGGCCCAGGACGATCTGATCACCTATCTAACGGAGCAGTTGAATCAGACCGTTTAAGCAGTAAATAGGACACTCTTTGCTCTCTGGCCATTTAGGGAGAAAGTACTTCTACCACTGATCACTGATCACTGCCTGTGGGATTCTTCTGCCCGTTCTCCCATTGGGTGGTAAGGCTCGTGGTGGAAGGGAGGATGGCAAATGCTTTCAGCAAGTGCTAGGCGCCCAGCGCCTCCATCCTGACATTTCATCCTCACCTCCCAGGAGACTAGCGCCTTTAGTACCCTCCTGCCTCCCGCTCCACCCACTTTGTACACAGTCAGGGCTCAGGGCTGTGACTCTAATCGGAAAGGGGGGAGGTGGGCAGGACAGGAGGAGGTGGGACGAGAGGCTTGACAGAGGTACTCGCACCATAACCTTCACCCACCAACTTGCCAGCTGCCCAGATGGCCCTTGCGCTTGGCAGCAGACCAGAGGAGGCCCTTGACCCCATTGGTTATGCCTCAGGGTGGACCAACAAGGTGTGTGCTGGTTGGCGGGAACCAGACCAATGAGGAGGCAGTGGTGCAGTTGTCCCAGGCATGCTGAAAGCCTCACGTCGTTTGCGGCGACCTCCTGCATGCAGTGCCTGTGCTGCTTGACGGCGCCCTCCAGACGCTGCCTGCCTCACCTGTCCTGACCGCCACCACCAGCACCACCACTGCCACCGCGACCTGGGTGATAAATCGTCGCCACCCCAGTTCCAGGGGCCACCCAGATCGTGACATGAGCTCCTGTGATGATGAGGTGTCTGTTGGGGGAGCAGATTTTGGCCTCTAGGGTGGGGAGCAGACCAGTGTCTATCAGGCCGGTTCTGCAGCCCCACGAGGACCCAGACTGGGCCCCGAGCCGGCGACACTGTGAAGCGGCGAGGGTGGCTTCCCAGACCCTGAGGTCTTCGAGTCAGTGTGGGAGGTGCTGGATGCCGGAGGGCTGGTGCTGTGGGGCCGCGAAGGCCAGCCTGGTTCCCTGGTTAATGACAAGGGGGATGCCCTGCAGTTGACTGATGAGTCGGTGGCGGCCATCCTGCGGCAGCTGAGCGACCTGGACGTGCTGGCCGTCAGCAGATACCCATACCCAGAGAGCTACACAGTCAGTGAAGTGTCCATCTTGTGGGCCGACCTCGAGACGGGTCCTGGCGGTCGAGGCGCCACCGCCCAGAGTAGTGGAGAAGTGGCTCTGGTTGCAGTCTGCCCTCTCCAGGTCGGCAGGCCCAAGGCGGGTCGGACCTGGGGAAACCCTAAGAGAGGCACTAAGAGTAGGTAGAACATGGCTGTGGATCGCCAGTGGCCCCCCGTGGAAGGCTCGGCCAGGCTGCTGTCTGACCCCGAGTCCTTTGATGAGTTCAGTGAGATAGAGCTGATGAGGGTGAGAGCATTTATCCCAAAGAAGGAGGCCAGGCCAAGCTCAACAGCCCCAAGGATCCTGGGTACACACTCAGACACTTGAATGTCCAAGGCAGGGAGAATCTCCTTAACGTGCCAGGCACTCTTCTATCCTCGGCTCTGCGAGGATTCACTTCGGTCGTGGAAAGGCAGGGCAAGCAGGACAATGGAGAGCCGGACATCTCTTCCTCTAAGAAAATGCAGAGCATGCTCTGGGGAAAGGGGGGCAGCAGGCCCAGCTACCCGGGAGTAGCAGTAGCAGCAGTTTCTGCAAGTGGCTGCTACAGACAGCCTGCTGCCGGCCACTCCAGGAGGAAGGGGGCCCAGGAGAAGAAAGAAATCCCTGGGGGAGCCTCCAAATCTGCCCTGGGGGAAACTTCTCTTCCTGGGGGCAGGGAATCTCGGCCACTCCCCTGGATCTGGCCACCTTCCCCTGAGTCTCTGACATCCCACTGCTTGGGAGGTCCAAGAGGTATACCTTGGTCCCTTTGGGAACCAAAGAGTCCAAGCGCATGGGCGCTGGGAAGAAATCCATGGTCAGGCGGGTTGGGCAGGTGGTCTGCACTGGCGATGGCGGGAGAAGATGACAACCCAAATAGAGACCCATTCCCAAAGGCCCAAGTGAGTAGGCCAGGCCCCTCCTCTCTCCCCACTATTCCCCCTCCCACCCTCCCCAAGACACACTTCTTCACCCTCTGTCCATCCCTTAGGGGTCGTCAGTGGGTCAATTGGATGCCAGATTGGGGTCCTTTTACTAGGGACAAACGTTAAGGTAGCACTTCGGGTGTGCTGGGTTTGGTTCTCTACCCTTGGCCTGTTTCCAGCCTCCTCCACGAGGCTGGGACTGGAGTGGAAGGGAGGGCTGGTAGCCGAATTGGGTCAAGGGGACCCGTTGGAAACTTCACAGAGTCTTGATCTTTAGATGCAGCACTTTCCTGAATCTTACTTCCTAGCTGTTCCCCAAACCTTCTTTGCAGGGGACCTGGGCTTTCTCAATGCTGCACTGTTGTCCCCAGCTCAGCTCTGCCTGCTGGCCTGGGGCCGACTGATGGAGAAAGTGCTAAAGAGATCAGCCTTTCAATTCTCTTCCCAAGCCCGTGCCTCAGCCTGGTCCTGAATCACATGCGCGTGCACACACACACACACACACACACACACACACACATAGACATACAAATGCACTGGTACACACACACAGAGACATAGACATACAAATGCACTGGTATACACACACACATATCCTTAGTCCAGATCGGTGAGAAATCTTTGTTTTAGCTGCCCACTCACAGGCCATAGCCATCTTGTTCATGGATGCATCATGGAGAACCCAGCAGTGGCGACCTCAACATCAGAGGCCTGCAGGATCCAGGAAATTCAGAGCCCATGGCCCTGAACTGGGCAGAAGTCATGCCCAGAGGGCCTGACCCTTCAGGTGAGTGTCCTGGGTTTTGATATGGGGGCAGGGGACCAGGGGTGAGGGCAGAAACCTTTCTCTCTCTCTGTCTTTCTCTGCTGGGGGCTCAGCCTTGCTCCCAGGCAGCTTCTCCCATGGGAAACAGGGTGTCAACAGGCCTGGCCCTGGCCCCATCATCCTCTGTGTGGGGTTTGTTTGGCAGAGGTGATCAGTGGCATTGCCCCACAGCTACTCCAGATTGTAGACCTGCAGGCTAGTAGCCTTTTCTGTGAAGTGCTGTTTGCCCACATTACTCTGCCAGGTGCTGGCTGTGGCTACAGCTCTGGGAAGCTCAAACCCAGAACCATGGGATTTGCAAACCACAGTGGTGAAAATGCTGCCCCTGGGGAACAGGGGAGGCGGGCCCAGAGAGAAGGTTTGGTCTGCTGGGCAGAGCAGGGGAGGCCTGTTGCCAGCAGAGGGGGGTGCTGCCTCACCTTGCGTTAGACCCGGCTTGGCCCTTTCCACCTCACTGGGAGCCTGGGAAGCTGGATTGTGTGTCCTTTCCCTGTCAGGTGACCAGGAACCAACTGACCATTCTCCGAGAGTGGAAAGGCGGCAGCAGCCACCGGGAACCCAAGGCTGTCTTCAGGTAATGCTTCCTCTGGCTCCTGGAAATGCACACGCAAACCCCATGGTGGGATATGGGTCCAAGTTCAACTGACATGTATGAGGGCCCCCTCCCTCGTCCCCATCCCACACCCCATGGAGGGAGCCCACCTCCTTTCCACTGAGAAAAGTCTTTCCCTTGCCAGTCTGGACACCGGGCTTTGGGATGGAGGGCCCCAGGGGAGAGGAGAGGAGGAGAGGGGAGGCGGGTGTATGCTAACCATTTCTCTTCCTCCTGTGTCTGCTGGCCTAGTGTCTGGTGCTACAGAGAGAAATAGATGACCTTAAGGAGCAACGTGGTATGAGGAACCAGGGACAGAGAGCAGCGGGCTCTTAGTGCAGAAGCGGGGTGGGCTGCCAGTGCAGGGGGCCTTGCGGGGATCAGTATTCCTGTGGGGAAGAGAACCTAGCAAGCCTGATCCTGGAGCCTGCTGTGCATGTTCAGCTTGGCGTGCGGACAAGTAGCAAAGTACTGTGTGGACTGCGAGCACACTCTGCCAGCCAGGTGAGTCCTAGAGAGCTCCTTCTGATAGGACTTGTAGAGATGCCTTGTTGATCCTTCCCTTTAACTGCTGCTTGGTGTGGCCTCTAAGGTTCTTGTTGGATTGTTTGTTTGAATGGTTTGGCCGTGGCCCCAAGCTTGAGAGCTGCTGACACATTTTGTTTCCTTTTAGGAAAGGGCTCCACATTTAATTCAGGTGGTGGGGAGGATCAGGTCCAGAGCTCTTTGCAGCGGGGCTGGGAGGGGACTGGGTTTCAGGTTTCAGGGCCAGGAGGTTGCCTACGGGGACAGGGAGACAGGCTCCTATATCCACTCTGTCTGGTGCGCCTGCTTATGCCTCTCCCTGTTGCAGCCTCCATGCAGCACCTGGCTGACGAGTTCCAGATCCTTTGAAGTGAGTGTTACACACACCATACCCCTTCCCACAGTCCTGGCTGTTGAGCAGGGTTGTGGGCTGGCCCTGTCTTGAGGCTGTTCCCTGACTCTGCTGTTTCACAGGTTGAGCCCAGCATCTTACTGCAAGAGGAGCAGCTGTTACCTCCGGGGCTGGTGAGCTGTGGCCAAGCTTATTCCCTCCTGTTCTGCCTCCACCAGGGCATCCTCTCCCCCTTGTTTTGCCCCCTCTCTGTCCCAGTTTCACAGCAGTTTTTGATTAAAGAACTTTTCGTGTTCTGTGTTCTGTCCTCTCTCTGGGGGGTAGGGGTTGGGGGAGTGGGGCAAGGCCTGGGGAGCTGATGTGGGGAGCTGCCCTACATCAGATCCTGTTGCAGAACAGTACCTCTGGCATCCTGTGGTGGGGACTCTGGGTCAGCCTCTGCTACCATCCCGGCCATCAGGCCAGAGGAGTGCCCCCAGTCTAGGTTCTGTGTGGGCTCTGTCTGGCCACATTGGCACATCCTCCCTTTCCCCTGAAGGCCCTCTTCTAGTTCTCTAAACACCCTCCTCTGGGATTTGGCGGTTCCCATTCATCACTGCCATTCTGCCTCCCCATCAGAAGGAACTCATTACCACGTCACAGAGCTCCAATCCATCCCCCTCCTCTCATTGTTCTCGTTGCCCTGCTTACCCTGACCACTCTGCTTTCCTGTCAGAGCACCCTTGATGCTCACAGGAGGAAAGTTCAGGGTAGTTGCTGAGATGGAGGTCAGGAGAGGTGTCTGGTGCCAACCTGGGGCAGAGTGCACCCTGGCAGCTAGAGGTGAATGGTCCAGTCCTTGGAGCTTTCACATTCTCCATGCCCTAGCCATCTTGCTAGCCTACCTTCCTCCAGCCTGGTTGTCTCTCTACCCTTGAGTGAAAATGGGCCCATCGGGCTCTATGGCAAGTGAGGTTGGTAGGTCTGTGTTCTTACAAGGTCTCCATCAAATACTGTTCCACCAGTCCCATGACACAGATTTTCCTGCAAAATTATACTTCCCAGAGTGTCCCAGCTTAGTCTCCCAGACTACTTGTTAGGGCACACATGATTGGGTCTGATATCCATGTTCAATTTCACAGTAATCCAAGTCTATGCCCCAGCCAGTAATGCTCAAGAAGCTGAGGTTGAGCGGTCCTATGAAGACCTACAAGACCTTATAAAACTAACACCCAGGAGAGAGCTAAGTTGGCGGAGGAATAGGATGGGGAGATCACTTTCTCCCTCACAAATTCATCGAAAGATCATTTGAACACTGAGCAAACTCCACAAAACAACTTCTGATCGCTAGCAGAGGACATCAGACACCCAGAAAAGCAGCCCATTGTCTTCGAAAGGAGGTAGGACAAAATATAAAAGATAAAAAGAGACACAATAGAGTTAGGGACGGAGATCCATCCCAGGAAGGGAGTCTTAATAGAGGAGGTTTGCAAACACCAGGAAACGCTCTCACCTGTGGCTCTGGGGGAAGTTTTCGAATCTCGGAGGGCAACCTAACTGGGAGGAAAAATAAATAAAACCCACAGATTACATGCCTGAAAACAACTCCCAGCAGAAAAGTACCCCAGAAGCTCTAATCCACCATCAGCAAGTGGGGGCTGAATGGAGAGGAGAGGGCAGTGGCATTGCTTAGGGTAAAGACTGGGCCTGAAAGCCCTGAGGGCAATCTGAGGGAGCTAACAAGAGATAGCAACTTAAACTGTGGGATGCACTACCCGCCCATTCCCAGAACAAAGGACTAAGCGAATACCAGAGAAGAGCTAGCCGGCTGGCTGCAGACTGGCCCATCTCCCGCCAGAAGCAGGAGGCAGGGGGGAGGGGGAAGGGGCAAATTCAGCCCCAGAGACGGCATCCCCTACCAAACTGCAAACATGCTTCCAGTCTCTAACCAAAGACTTCCTGAGATTCTGGATGGTTGACATCCACCAGGAGGGTCGCAGCCAGAAATCAGCTTCCCAGAAGAGACACAAGGTGCACCGGACCGGTGCTCGGAAACTGAGGCTGGGACCGCGGAGGGGATAAGGCACACTGCACCGGGGGAGAGTGCGCTCATCAAGCTCCTGACTGCCTGAGCTGCTCGGGCCGGGGAAGGCACAAACCGCAGGCCCAACCGAGTCTGCATCTTTGTAGAGTACCCAAAAACCTGAACCTGAGTGGCTTAGGCCTGGGAAGTGCACACAACTCAGGGCCTGCTCCTTGTAGAGCAACCTGGAGCCTGAGCAGTGTAGATGGGGAAAGCACACGTGCCATGAGCAGGGGCAAACCCAGTGTTGCCAGAACAATGCGAGTGCTCCCCACACACGCCAGTGATATTTCTCTGCAGTGCCCCCCCCCTCCCCACAGCACGACTGAACAAGCAAACCTGAACAAGAGACCACCTTTGCCCACTTGGGTCAGGGTGAAAATTAGACACTGAAGAGACCTGCAAACAGAAGCCAGATAAACAAAGGGAACGGCTTTAGAAGTGACAGGTGCAACAGATTAAAATCCCTGTAGTTAATACCAACTACACCAGAAGGGGCCTATTGATATCGAGAAGTGTAAGCTGGAACAAGGAGCTATCTGAAACTGAACTGAACCCACACTGCCCACAACAGCTCCAGAGAAATTCCTAGATATATTTTTACTATTACTATTATTTTTTAATTAAAATTTTTTTTCTCTTTTTTTAAAGTCCTCTATTACTCCTCTAATACTCCTTAATTTTCATTTTTATACCCCACTATAACCTGGCAAAAAGAAAAAAGGATCCTATTTTTAAAGTGAAATTCATATATATTTCTTATATTTTTTGTGTTTTTGATGTTTTTTTAATATTGTATTTTTAAGAGTCTAACCTCTACTCTAGATTTTTAATCTTTGTTTTTTTATATTTGATATCAATTTTGGATATTTAAGAATCCAACCTTCAGTACCCATTTTTACTCAGGAGTGTGCTTACTGGTTTGATCACCCTCTCCCCCTTTTAGTCAAAAGGGGGGTCTCTCCCCAAGATCACCTCTATTTCCTCCCTCCCCCTTCTCTTCTCAATCCAATTCTGTGAATCTCTGTGGGTGTTCTGGGCTGCAGAGAACACTTAGGGAACAGACTACTGCCTAGATCTGTCTCTCTTTTCTTGAATCCCCCCTTTTCTCCGGCTCACCTCTATCTCCTTCTCCCTCTCCTCTTCTTCATGTAACTCTGTGAACCTCTCTGGGTATCCCTTGCTGTGGAGAATCCTTTCATCATTAACCTAGAAGTTTTATTATCAGTGCTGTATTGATGGAGAAGTCTTGAGGCTACTGGAAGAATAAGACTGAAATCCAGAGGCAAGAGGCTTAAGCCCAAAACCTGAGAACACCAGAGAACTCCTGACTACAGGGAACATTAAATAATAAGAGATCATCCAAAAGCCTCCATACCTACACTGAAACCAACCACCACCCAAGAGCCAATAAGTTCCAGAACAAGACATTTAATGCAAATTCTCCAGCTATGCAGGAACATAGCCCTGAGCATCAATATGCAGTCTGCCCAAAGTCACCCATAGACCCATCTCAAAACTCACTACTGGACACTCCATTGCACTCCAGAGAGAAGAAACCCAGCTCCACCCACCAGAACACCAACGTAAGCTTCCCTAACCAGCAAATCTTGACAAGTCAAACACCCAGCCTCACCCACTGGGAGAAACCTCCACAATGAAAAGGAACAACCAGAATACAGAAAGGCCACCCCAAACACAGCAATCTAAATAAGATGAAAAGGCAGAGAAATACCCAGCAGGTAAAGGAACATGAAAAATGCCCACCAAGCCAAACAAAAGAGGAGGAGATAGGGAATATACCTGAAAAATAATTTAGAATAATGATAATAAAAATGATCCAAAATCTTGAAAACAAAATAGAGTTACAGATAAATAACCTGGAGACGAGGATTGAGAAAATGCAAGAAATGTTTAACAAGGACCTAGAAGAAATAAAAAAGAGTCAGTTAAAAATGAATAATGCAATAAATGTGATCAAAAACACTCTGCAGGGAACCAACAGTAGAATAATGGAGGCAGAAGATAGGATAAGTGAGTTAGAAGATAAAATGGTGGAAATAAATGAAGCAGAGAGGAAAAAAGAAAAAAGAATTAAAAGAAATGAGGACAACCTCAGGGACCTCTGGGACAAGGTGAAACACCCCAACATTCAAATCATAGGAGTTCCAGAAGAAGAAGACAAAAAGAAAGGCCATGAGAAGATACTCGAGGAGATAATAGCAGAAAACTTCCCTAAAATGGGGAAGGAAATGGTGACACAAGTCCAAGAAACCCAGAGAGTCCCAATCAGGATAAACCCAAGGCGAAACACCCCAAGACACATATTAATCAAATTAACAAAGATCAAACACAAAGAACAAATATTAAAAGCAGCAAGGGAGAAACAACAAATAACACACAAAGGGATTCCCATAAGGATAACAGCTGATCTTTCAATAGAAACTCTTTGGGCAAGAAGGGAATGGCAGGATATACTTAGAGTAATGAAAGAGAATAACCTACAACCCAGATTACTGTACCCAGAAAGGATCTCATTCAGATATGAAGGATAATTCAAAAGCTTTACAGACAAGCAAAAGTTGAGAGAATTCAGCACCACCAAACCATCTCTCCAACAAATGCTAAAGGATCTTCTCTAGACAGGAAACACAGAAAGGGTGTATGAATGCGAACCCAAAACAACAAAGTAAGTGGCAATGGGACCATTCTTATTAATAATAACCTTAAATGTGAATGGGTTGAATGCCCCAACCAAAAGACAAAGACTGGCTGAATGGATACAAAAGCAAGACCCCTATATATGCTGTCTACAAGAGACCCACCTCAAAACAAGGGACACATACAGACTGAAAGTGAAGGGCTGGAAAAAAATATTTCACACAAATGCAGACCAAAAGAAAGCAGGAGCTGCAATACTCATATCAGATAAAATAGACTATAAAATAAAGGTTGTGAAAAGAGACAAAGAAGGACACTACATATTGATCAAAGGATCAATCCAAGAAGAAGATATAACAATTATAAATAT